TAGTAGACGTCGCTCGCGCTCTCGCGGTCCGGGTTGTACGACTCGTCTGCAATAGTTAGGGGAGCGGGAGGTGACAGAGCGCAGGGAGACAGAGAGTAGACGTCGCTCGCGCTCTCGCGGTCCGGGTTGTACGACTCGTCTGCAATAGTTAGGGGAGCGGGAGGTGAGAGAGCGCAGGGAGAGAGAGTAGACGTCGCTCGCGCTCTCGCGGTCCGGGTTGTACGACTCGTCTGCAATAGTTAGGGGAGCGGGAGGTGAGAGAGCGCAGGGAGAGAGAGTAGACGTCGCTCGCGCTCTCGCGGTCCGGGTTGTACGACTCGTCTGCAATAGTTAGGGGAGCGGGAGGTGAGAGAGCGCAGGGAGAGAGAGTAGACGTCGCTCGCGCTCTCGCGGTCCGGGTTGTACGACTCGTCTGCAATAGTTAGGGTAGCGGGAGGGCAGAGAGCGCAGGGAGAGAGAGTAGACGTCGCTCGCGCTCTCGCGGTCCGGGTTGTACGACTTGGTCTGCAAGAGTCGCAGAGAGCGCAGGGAGAGATGGCGTGACAGCGTAGGAAGCGCGGCGTGAACGATGAGAGAATACGGACGAGAGGACGGGGGACGAGGGATGAGAGAACGGGGAATACGGTGAGAGTGCGGACGATAGAAGAACAATGAAAGACGCAGCAAGCACGCCACGCGCACAATGGAAGAACAATGAAAGACTGCAGGAAGCGTGCCGTCACTCACGCACACGGCTATCGCCAAACGTTTTAGCGTTCACCTCTAAGGCCAAAACAAAATATAGGTGTGGTTACGGTTTCCCGACCGACCCTATTTATTCCCAGCGACCCTAAACATTTTATTATCAATTTTCTTTAAAGTCAAAAAATAAAAAAAATGAATTGGACAGTTCCTGCTTCAAAAGGCACAACGCACATCCTTCGGACACGGTTCGTAAATAAAATATTTCAAGAAAATAAAATGTTTTCCCTACTTATACCTACCCTATTTTTTTTCGGCATGTAATGGTAACCACACGTATATTTTGTTTTGGCCTAAAGAACAGACAACTATCCACTAAGGATGCAGGCATTTCCTTCGAGTCTCGGTTACGCGACAGCACCACCTCTACAGAAATGACACCCGTTCTTCCAAAGACGCTTCTGGAACTTGCCCCGAGCGACCCTCACGAACGGGTTCGACCCTGCGACCTTCGATGTTTGCGGCTCGAACGCCAAACATAGAGCCAGCGAGCGAGATCAGGCACGGCGTGCGCACGAAGAGAAGAGCGATTCACGTACCTGTGGAGTCGTCCTCAGAGCTTCCGCCCTCCTCCTCCCGCCGCTTTCCCTCTGCCTTCACCGACGCCAGGTAGGCGTCCGGTTCGTCTTCGACGTCCGAGTCAAGCAGGTCGTCGACGTAACTCGTCGGCTTTGTGTCCTGCGCGGGTGAGTTCTTAATTAGGCATCGTCACCTCGTTATCTTAATTAGACATCGTCATCTCGTTAAACTGTTGACGTGAACTAACATGGCGTTGTGTACTATGCAGATAAGTTTTTAATTGGACAGCAAACCCTCAAACACTGCTAAAACTGTTGATGTTCTAGCATGACATTGTGCCCTATGTACATGTTCTTAGATAGTCATTGTTCCTCTCCTAAAACTGTTAGGCCAAAACAAAATATAGGTGTGGTTACGGTTTCCCGACCGACCCTATTTACTCCCAGTGACCCTAAACATTTTAATTGTCAATTTTCTTTAAAGAAAAAAAAATTTTTTAATATTAAAAAATAAACAATGAATTGGTCAGTTCCTGCTTCAAAAGGCACAACGCACATCCTTCGGACATGGTTCGTAAATAAAATATTTCAAGAAAATAAAATGTTTTCCCTACCTACCTACCCTATTTTTTTTCGGCATGTAACGGTAACCACACATATATTTTGTTTTGGCCTTAGCGTTCTAGCACAAGACAATGATGCCATTCATAAAAGGTTTAGTTGTATTGGTAATAAAGACTTCGAATCGTCGCGATCGGTGGGGTTGTCAACGATTCACCTACGTGACACGTTCGCACGATGCACGCTGTTAGGGACACTGATTTTCCGTTTCAAAAAATTGCCTTTTCCGTTTGGGAAAATCGTGAATTCCGTTTCAAAGTAATGAAAAAATGGAAATTCCATTTTGCCATAGAGATTGTACACACCAAAAATGAAAAATTCCGATTACATATATTTAAATGAAAAAAATGGTATTTGGTACAACCTTTAGAGTAATGTGTTCATAATAAAATCGTAATCCAAAAGTCGTAATTTTAAGTCATTTCGCTCTGAAACTTGTCTGAATGTAAACCATATCATTACCAATAGAGTATCGAAGTGTGACGTCACGGTGGCATGACAACGAACCTACTGGTTCTACACAACCCAGTGGCTCCATAACATTAACTGCGTGAAAATGTTGTGCGTACGTAAAACACGAGTGTGTGCGCTGCAGACAGTGCCGCCTCCGCCGTCGCCACGACGACGCTGCTCGAGTGGATCGGCGCCAAGGACGACGCGAGCTCCCTCGACACGCTCGCCGACCTCTGCGCGAAGGGACTCGAGCAGTTCGGCGACGACGCGATCGCGAGCGTCGAGGGCGACGTCGCCGCCGCGCTCGCCTCCACCGACAACGCCAGCATGAAGGAGGTGCGCGGGCTCGCCGACCGCCTCTACGGACTCGAGCAGCTGATGGCCGAGGCGCGGCGCATCGTGCGCGAGCAGGCCGACATCGCCGCCTCCTTCCTGCAGAACCAGGCGCGCGCGGGCCGGCTGCGCGACGCATCCGTACTCCCCGACCTGTGCGAGAGCCACCGGCGGCAGCTGCTCGTGATGCTGCGCAACGAGCGGCGGCTGCGCGACATCGCGCGCCGCTGCCAGCACGCCAAGGGCGAGCTGTCGGCGAACCTGCACACGCGGCTGCGCTGGGTGATGTACGTCGAGAAGTCGTTGTGCGACGTCGACGGATCCCTCGTCGTTCACCACGAGAACCTGCGCCGACTGAGGCGCCATCTGGAGGTGATGCGGCAGGTGCGCGACGCGCCGTACGCGTACGCGGCCGCCGTGGTCGAGGTCGCCCGCCGCCGACGATACGCGCGCGAGTTTGCCGAGTGGGCAGGTGAGTGGCGGCGTTACCGCGGCGACGTTACCGCGGCAACGTGGTTTCTGTAGGTTAAGTATTGTCTTCGGCTTCGGCTTCGGCTTCAGCGGCTTGTCGTCGTCGCTCTCGCTCGACGAGCCGGACTCCGAGCTCGTGATGTACTCCTTGCTCTTGAAGTGACCTTCCTTCGCCGGCGACTTCGCCGGACTCTTACTCGCCTTGCCCTTCCTGCACAGAGACAGAGAGAGGAACGTAGAGAACGATGAGCGCTTGAGAGAGAGAGAAGGCAGAGAACGATGAACGCTCGAGAGAAAGAACGCACACGCACACGCACACGCACACACACACGCACGCACGCACGCACATACACACACACCACGCACGCACATACACACACACACCACGCACGCACATACACACACACACACACAAACACGCACATGCACACACACACACACACATACCCGGCGGATTTCTTGGGTGGCGATGGGCCATCGTCAGGCTTCTTTGTCTTCTCATACTCCCTCATGACCTCTTCGTACTTCTTCTTCGCTTGTACGGCCTTCTCATCCCACTCCTTTACAGCAGTGAAACAGTTAAACATAAAACATTAGGAGCAGACGAAAATTCGTTTTGTTTGACCACTGAACTCTGAAATTCACAAACCCTAGAAGTATTATCAGTTATTGTTATTATTATTATTATTGTTGTTACTGTCTTATTAATAAGCTAACTCCAACTACCTCGCTAATATTCACATTATTTACATTGATTTATGAGACCATACACATATATTTATACATAATAAATACACACGCACGCACGCACGCACACACGCACGCACGCACGCACGCACGCACGCACGCACGCACGCACGCACGCACGCACACACACAAATATACATACACAGATGTACACGTAAATGCATGTGCACGCAGCTTAAAAATTCGACGAGAGACTCGCTGCCAACGCGACATGGCGACATCGTCGACATTAACGCGTCGTTATCTCTCTCGGGCACGCTCACCGTCTTGTCGGTGACGAGCTTCCAGCCTTCCCCGGCTTTCTTCGAGATGTCCGTGATCGAGATTCCCGGGTTCTCCGTCTTGATGCGCTCGCGATTCTCGTTGAGCCAGATGAAGTAGGCCGACTGCGGCCGCTTGGGAGCGTTCGGGTCCTTCACCTTCTTGCTTCTCCTGCTCCTGCTCTTCTCCATGCCCGGCTCAGGCTGCAAAACAACAATAACGTGTTTCTATCTGTGCGTGTGTGTGCGTGGAGGGTGGGGGTGGGGTGGAGGGTGGTGGACCGCTGCTGCTGCTGCCACTGCCA